GGAGTAGCTCATCATGCTGCGCACCATATCCATAAGGGTACGGTTGCGCCTTTCAGCTACCCCATTCTGTTGAGGTTCGCCCGGTGTTGAATACTGGGCTACTATTCCATTCTCTAGCAAGAACCTTGCAAAAGGTCCAGGGACTTGCCCATAAGGCGTATGTCGACCATAGTACTCCCCCCCACGGTCAGATCTTACTACTTTAATCTTTATATCATGCTGATTTTCAACTTCAGCTTTGAATATCTTAAATTTATCCAGTGCTTCTGATCGCTCTTTAATTGGATAAATATAACCATAGCGGGAGTAATCATCTGTGAATGTTATGAACGAGTCATAGCCATCCACACTTTTCACAGGAAATGGACCACAAATATCTGTATGAATGATCTCTAAAATTCCTGCGCTTCGTTTTGCACCCTTTTTGATGCTCTTTACAAATTTTCCTTTAATGCATTCTATGCATTGTTCTAAGTCTGAGAACTCCAATGGAGGAAGAATTTCATTCTTAACTAGTCTCTCAATTCTCCCCCTCGAAATATGGCCCAAACGACAGTGCCATAATTTCGATGAGACATCGGGAGTTCGCTTTCTTTTCTTGTTTTCTTTTGTCAACGAGGACACAACATTCACATTCTCAGAAAGAGATAACAAATAAAGCTCGTCTCGCAACACAGCAAGACCAATACATGCATTATTATGCCATAGTTCACATTTGCCACTTCCAAAGCGGCAATCATATCCATCAAAATCCAACTTTGATACACTTATTAAGTTTCTTTGCAAAGAAGGAACATAAAAGACATCTCGAAGTAAAAGTATGAAGCCATTCGCGAGCTCTAGAGGAAGATCTCCAACAGCTTCAACTTTTTCTTCAACTCCATTGGCAACTCTAATGGTGCTTTCTCTTCTTTGCGTAGTCCTCGTCGAACGGAATGCCTTTAAACAATTACAAGCATGAATAGTTGCTCCAGAATCAATCCACCATGTGGATCTAGAGTAACCAACATAATGAGATTCATTTACAAATGTAATAATGTTCTCACCTTTCATTGCCATGATCATTTTCAAAAAGTCAGAACAATCTTTCTTGTAGTGTCCTGTCTTCTTGCAGTGGAGACATTGATCTTTCTCAACAGCGAACTGTTGTTGCTGAGGCAGATGCTGAGACTGTTTACCTTTTGAGGTGGGAGACTTGTGGTTCTTTTTCTTATCTTTAACATAGTTTATTGAACCACCATTTGATTCTTTGATTCTCTCCTCCTCTTGCACACAATTAGCAATGAGCTTCTCAAAGTTCCATTTCTCTGGACTTATGTTGTAGTTGACAATAAAATTGTCAAACTGCTTTGGCAATGAGGCCATAACCAGATGGACCAGAAAGTCATCTGTTATGCCCAAATCCATTGGCTTCAACTTGGAAGCCATGTTGCTCATTCTAAGTATGTGGTCTCTAACACCACCTCCATGGTACCTTTCTGTCACAAGCTGCTTGATCAGCTGTGTAGCATAAGTCTTTGAAGAGCCAGTAAACTGACTCTTTATTCTTTCAAGGTACTCTGAGACAGCGTCACACTCTGGGATCGAGCCCAATATGGTAGGCTCAATCGTATTCTTTACCACAGCCAAACATTTCTTGTTGGCTAAGGACCATTTCTTTTGTTCAATGTCATACGACATGACGAGAGGAGCATTGTCCCTCTGTCTCTTTTGCCAGTCAGCATCTGACTCATTTTCACCTCTGACAAGTTCAGCAGGTTCTATAGGACATGGGGTAGTCAACACCCAGTCCACCTCTCCTAAGATAAAAGCAAGGTCGAGTTTTCTTTTCCATTCTGCGTAGTTATCTCCTTTTAGGGTCGGAATATCTTTAATGCAACCCATCAAGGAGTAGCCACCTGAAATAATCATGTGCGGTGAGAACAAAATTAACATTAAAATATTATGCATTAAGCCTACATCACCGTTGGGCAGAATTAGACATAACACATATAACCATAACTATAATATTGCAATTAACAACGTTGGTCAGAAAATTACAACATCATAGCACATAATTAATGTTCCTAAAATTAAATTCTCCCGTTGGTTCGAATTTTAATTTTAGAAACACTAATTTTCATCAATTTCATCTATTTGCAGCGGAAAACTATATAAAATCATATGAAGAGTAGCAAAATCTCTGTAATTCTCTCTCTGTGAAAATTCTCCCGTTGGTTCAAATTTAAACAGAGGTAAAACATGCAAAAATCTATTCAAAATTCTATTGAAATTTGCATGAAAAATTGACAAAATAAAATGGAAAAATTGCTACTGTTCTCTTTTATTCATTTTCGGCCCCCCCGAGGGACCTCATACGGACTTTTTCCGGTCGGCCCGCGGCCTTTTTGGCGCGCGCGGGCGCTCCCCCCTCCCACCAGGCCGCAACCTGGGCCTGGGCCGGGAAAGTCGCCGCGCGCGCTCTCCCTCTTGGGCCGTTTTTGGCCCGACCGCCGCCAGCCGTCCGATCTTCTAGGGCTTCGATCGGACGGCCGGGAGGGGAGATCGGGAGATCAAAACCCGACCCCCAGCCGCCGGAAACCCTAGTTCCTCTTCTCTCGTGGGCGCACGGCCGCGCCGAGCGGCGTCGCCGACGCCGGCGGCCCTCGCGCCGCCGCGCCATGACCGGCGCGCCTTTCTTTTCTCTTCTTCTCCGCTCCCCCCACCGTCTCTAACCCCCACCGTGTGAGAGAGAGAGATGGCGGCGGCCGAAAAGACGGAGATGGCGGCGCCGCCGCGGGCTCCCTCGCCGGTGCGCGCGTGCACCAGCGGGTGCGCGCACGGCCGTCGAGTGGCTCCTCGGTGGTGCCCTTTGCCCTCCCCCCTTTTGCCGGCGACGGCCGGCGACAAGGTAGGGTTAGGGTTTCGATCTTTTGATCCGTGTGGATCTTGTGCTTTTCTTTCTTTGGATTTCTTTTCCCGAACCGATCTAATCACTAGGGTTGCTCTGATACCATTGTCAAACTTTGCACTAGGATCACCTAGGTTAGATCTAGTCGGGTGGTTCTATTTGGGATTGATGTTTGAACTATAGAGATTGAAAACGGGAGAGGGTTTAGATAGACCGACCGGTTGAGGTGTTGGAGGATGAAGAAGTGCCGGCCATCGTCGTCGTTGGCGCTCGGTTGTCGTGGATGCGGCGCCGGTGAGGTCGACGGCGATGACGGCTGCGGGAGTGACGGTCGTAGATGTCCCGGCGATGAGGTCTGGCACGGCGGTGGCGCTTCCCGTCACTGGCTGCGCCCCCTCTCGATCGGATTAGGGTTTGTAGGGTGGAGTTGGCGGCGGCGGTGAATCTCGTACACTGTGCCGTGCCGGCCTCCACCCCTCTTTTATATGGCGCAGTGTGACGGGGGCCCACCAGCCATTGGGCTGGGCGCCCCCGATCAGGGCGCGGTCAAGGCCCCCTTGAGCCGTTGGGCTCAAGGGGAGAGAGAGATCTATCTAACAGAAAGAATTATCCCCCAAGATTGCTTAATGGATATGACTTCTAGATGATTTCTATTTGTATGTGATACTATTGTGTGCTGATGTGAATCAAGTTGGTGCGAACTTGTACTCAAATATTGAGTTTCTTTGTTGTTCATGTGCAGGTACTCCTTGAGGACATGGGAGTATAGCTGGTGATGGATCGGGACTAGGCTTGGGAGAGTTGAGGTCTAGACAGACAAGGATATCATGGGGGATGCTCAGACTAGAGAATAATGCATATGCACGTGGATGTGAAGGTTCCCATATGTTATACACGTGGTGTTGTGTGCGTATGGAAAGAGAAGTCAAATTTAGTTTGGAGTTTGTAAAGTTTCTTTCTTGTACGGGAAGGTTTCCTAGGGGATTAAGACATCTTGTATGAGTTGGATTCTTGGCTAGGAACAACCATGTTATGGGTATAAATAGATGAGGGATTGAGGGTAGAGGTAAATTGCATATATCGACTTTTTGGGAGTGAAAAGTTAGGGTTTGCTTCGAGGTTTCAATTCTAGTTAGTGTGTTGATGCAATAAAGTTGATATACTTTCAAGAGTTTCGTCGATAAGTGTTTTTCTAGATCCTGACGGTTTGACCGGAGTTCATTGTGCGGTCTAACCGGCGGGCGGTCACACCAGAGGCAGGGAGCCGGTTCAACCGGCGACGAGGTGGCGGTCGGACTGGCAGCGTACGGCGGTCAGATTGGCGGTGGCACTGCAGTCAGACCGGAGTTGATTTGACGGTTAGACTGGGCTACGCTGACGACTTCATCAAGTTTGAGGGTAATTTATATTTCCGCTAAAAGTTTTTGGTTTTTGGTATTCCTATCCTTCACCCATCTTCTGGTAGGTTTCTTTGATCTTGTTCAATTATTCATGTTTGCTTTCCGTTTGTTTGATATAACTTTAGCTAAGCACTAGTAGTCATAGCCTAATTAATCCCTTATGAAAGCATAACTCTCCCACTACTCAGTGGTACCTATGAGCTTTCTGGGTGCATAGCACAATCAAGATCAAGAACCCCATATCTTTTGGTATAGTTTTTTTTTTACCTGCATAAATTTTTAAGCAAGTTGGATTGGAGATAGTGTATCAGCAATTAATCATGGCAAATGATTGGAGACCAGGACCACTTTTCTAATAGGTCATGTGGAGGTCATGTGGAGGTAGAACGTGGAAATAAACCCAAGTTAGCTTTGTTATTTAGCTCATAATTTGCCAAATACTTTATTTATTTCAGCACAATTGGATTGCCATTTTAGTTTGTTAAATTTAATTGATAGTGTATCAGGAATTTTATTTTATTAGTCACGTCATTACATAAACATCCTACGAGATATGCCATCCGCTAATTGTTGGTCAAAGTTTATAAAGCTTGACATTTTTAAATCAAAATGTGCCTTATAAAGATCTAAGGAGGGAGTAATGTTTACATTTATATAAAAAAAACTAAAGAGAGTTTTTATAAACGCAAGCCAACCAGTGAATAATGTAGTATCCAGTAGAACCTTTTTAAATCAAACAATGTAATGGTATTGTTCAATTGGAATAACAGTTTTAAAAAATTGGGATCTGTACAGCGGAATTAACCATTTAACGCCCATCTTCTGCTGTTTTACTCATGTGGTTCAGAGATCTTGATCTCATGCTATCTCTCGTGTCTTCGTCTGTCCCGTACTCCCTCCTTGTGAAATATATAGGCTCCTTTGGAGCAGGAAGCACGGCAGTTTCGTTCTCCAGCATGAACACAATGGATGACATCAGTGGCCTAGCACTTGGTTGATCTTGAATGCAAAGGAGTCCTAAATGTATACATCGTAGAACTTCATGAAGTGGACAGCTCTCCACAATGGATGAGTCTACGAAATCCCTTGCATTTCCATCTTTCCATAAACTCCATGCCTGAAGAAACAAATCAAGTTATGATATCTCAACTCATTACATTTAGTTTGACTTGCAGAAATTTGAGCGTTGTGCTATACTTACATAGGCTATAAGGTTTGAACAGTCCACTTTGAGATGGGCTGAACTGATCTTTAAGCCACTCACAACTTCCAACAGTATGACACCAAAACTATAGGTGTCAGACTTGACGGAAAAATAGCCATCCAAAGCATATTCAGGAGACATGTAACCACTGTTTAAATAATTCAGGAAACAATATGCAGTTTGAATTAGGGTAAATAGTTTGCACGTTGAACATTAGCTAATATATGAAGTATGAACTGCTTACTATGTGCCGACAACCCTGGTGGTATTAGCTTGTTGCTCATTTCCACCAAAGATCCTTGCCATGCCGAAATCTGATATTTTAGGACTCATTTCTGTGTCCAACAAAATGTTGCTTGTCTTTAGATCTCTATGGATTATTGTTAATCTTGAATCCTGGTGAAGATAAAGAAGACCTCTTGCTACTCCTTTAATTATCTTGAACCTTGTCGGCCAGTCAAGCGTGTTTTTTCTGTTAGCATCTTCCAAGATCAATGTGGAATGAAATTTATTGTCAGACATCATCAATATCCCTTCAGTTTATTGTCAGAGATCATAAGTCAGAAATAACGTACCAAAAAGGAAGGCATCCAAGCTTCTGTTTGGTAAGTATTCGTAGATGAGTAACTTTTCGTCTTCATGAATGCAGCAACCAAGAAGCCTAACCAAGTTTCTGTGTTGTAATTTAGCAATCAGAACCACTTCATTTCTGAACTCCTCAACACCTTGCCCTGAACCCTTGCTAAGCCTCTTGACAGCAACTTCTATGCCACCCTCCAAAACTCCCTAAATATATATTGCACCATTCTTTGATTAAACAAGAGATAAGCTATAACATATCATATATCTTTAACTAAAAAATCAAGCTAAGACTTATCATTATTACCTTGTAAACTTTTCCAAAACCTCCTTTTCCAAGCAAGTTGTAATCGGAGAAATTGTTTGTTGCAGTGAGGACAGAATCCAAGTCAACAGAAGAAAGTTCTACATTTTCGCTCCCAACTTCGTTTGAATCATTCATGTGTTGAAATGGATATTTGCTCTGAACTTTCTTGCTTGGTTGATTGCCTGAAAGGAACGCTTCTGTATCATCATTATTGTTTCATACAAGTGAAATATCTCATCAAAGAGCAAAGTAATGTTTTTTACACTCTACCTCTTGATTTGCGTACAAGACATATGCCTCCAAGTATCAGCAGAAGACCAGCCGCAACCGGCAGTACAATCTTCAGAACAGTACTTTTCGTCTTGTTATTAGCTGCAGAAATCATTAATCACATTACATATCAAGCGAATTAATCATATTATTATACAGTCCAGAATAAAGAAAATATCCAAGAAATCATTTCTACTACCAGTAGAGAACACCATAAAGGTTATCGAAATACATGCCTCGTGAGCCAGGAATCCGGAGGTAGAGGTTCTCGCCGCCGGCACCATCGCTGAACTTGCCCGTGTCGACGAGCTCCCCCATCCAAACCAAGCACCTGGACCGGTCCTCCGTCGCATCGGCATTATTCAGGATTGCATAAGCATAAGCCGTGCAGGAGCAGTTGCGGCTGCACTCTGCGGTGCACTGATCGAAGCTTCTGTTCCTCACGTACAAGAACTTGTCCGGTGTCCTCATGCTCGGCATGGTCAAGAAGCCATCGCCGCCGCCGCCTGCCGACGCATCCCACCTCCTCCTCCTTCCTCCGGCAACCTCTCGAGACGTCGTGGCTGCTGTCGACGGGGACGAAGCCGTCGAGGCACTTGCACGTCGGAGTCGCCGTGGCGCCGATGCCGTCGCAGTAGCCGAAGGGCCCGCACGAGGCGTACTTGTCACAGCCGGTGGGGAACCGGGAGAAGACGGTCCACGACGACGTGTTGCCGTCCCAGCTCTGGAAGGTGAGCTCGCCGGTGTAGTCCAGCGTCATGCGCATCGGCGGCGAGCCGTCGGCGACGGTCAGCTTGAAGGAGTAGCCGTCGGCCATGTCGCCGTCGATCGTCTGATACAGCTTGAAGCTGGTGTTGGTCTGGATCACGCCGAAGATGGACGCGCCGGTCCACGCCGCTCGTCGCCAGTACGGCCTCGTCCCGTTCCAGACGACGATCTGGAGGTCCGAGCTGGAGTCGCCGCCCATGGTGAAGTCGCCGGCGGACGGGTCGTTGGGCCCCCTCCACGCGACGATGCGGTCTAAGCTGTTGGCCATGTAGCTCAGCGAGAAACTCACGTTGGGCACGATGGTGTCCGTCGGGTGATCGAAGCTCCGCCATACCTCAGACCCGTTCGGCAGCCGCACGACGAAGTTGCCGGAGTCGAGCAGCACAGCCGTCGCTCCAGCACCACCACCGGCGGCGGCGACGTTGTTCGAATTCGCCGTCGTCCAGACGGCGCCGCCGCCGCCGCCACCATTGGAGTCGGACAGCACGAGGTCGGAATCGTTGGTCAAGACCAGCTTCACGGAGGAGCTCTTCTTGATCGGGGTGTTGCGGTTGGCGACCCACACGTAGGTGTGCACGGGGATCTGGTTGTACCATACGCCGACGTACAAGTCCGAGGTTGAGTTCGTCAGGGAGAAGAAGCCGAGAGCGAAGACGCCGCCACTGGAGATGAGCTCGTCGCCGGGGGAGAGCGGCCTTGCAGGTGTAAGCTTGTCATCAGCTCTGCATGACGAACAAACAAGAAGCAGGAACACAAACACTGCAAGGTAAGCCGCCATGGCCGTTATAGAGGAATTCGATTCGTGTCACCATATACATGTCAATTTGTGGCGATCGCAGCGAGAAGATAGCAAAAATGTGGATTAGGATGTTCCACGGATTGCACAAATGGGTCAGGTTCAATTCAACAGCTAGCAATGATCGGTAGCAATCAGTTGGAATTTTCTTGGCACTCCCAGTTGAAATGTGGCACGATTCGTCACAGTTTCACATCGGACAATGTTGACACATCTGCGTGCTGAAAAAGCGCCCGATTTCAGCAGGTTACATGGAATGCCTTCAAAGCTCGGGTAAAATTTGTGTCGTGGTTACTCTACGAAATTTTTTTGCAAATATACTTATTTTTTTTAATAATTTACGTTTATATACATACATCGGAAAATTTTGCAAAAATATACCTGTCCCGCGGGATAGAAACGCAGGATCGCGATGGTACCGCGGATCCAAAATATGGGACAGACGGTCCCGCGGAACGGTCGCGCAGGATCGTCGCGGTCCCGCACCGCCAAAACGTGGGACCACGATGGTCCCGCGTGAACCGCGCTGCCCAGCGATTTTTGAGACTGTTTGGCACTGTTCACACGACGATCCTACGCGGCGGTTGTGCGAAACCGGCATATGAACAGTACAAAACAGTGTACTAACAGTGGTTGAACAGTGCCGATGCAGTAAAAAAATCGATGCCACCGCGGTTCCGCGGATTGAAGCCGTGGGACCGCGATGGTCCCTGCGCAACCGTCCCACGGGACCGATGGTCCCGCGTTTTGGATCTGTGGACCATCGCGGTCCCGCGTTTCCGTTCCGCGGGACGGGTATATTTGTTCATGCATAGCAGAGCTGATGTTCACGCATAGAATATCTTCAGAGCAGATAATTCGTAGATAGTTCAAATACATATACGGATACGGATATGGTATCGGGGTTTCCGACGGATACGAATATCTGGTGATGATTGCTATTCGGATATCCGTTGAAGCCATGAGACATACCCAATTTTTTTATAGAGTTTTGCTTCGATCAGCAAAATGTACCTCGAGGTACCGGTACCTCATGGTACCAAATCGTTTCCGATTGTTGGATTTAGCTGGGCAAGATGAATATTGTTAGATCCAACAATCAAAAACGATTTAGTACGGTGAGGAGGAGGTGTACCTCGAGGTATGAGGAGGAGGTGTACCTCGAGGTATTTTTTTATTGAACCGGAGCAAATCTCTTCTTTATAACTCTACGACTTTTAATCTATCTATTTAGATTTTAATAGCAACTCATCTCTTAATACTAGTCCACACTATTAATATTATTTAAATTTTGAAATATTTTTATAAGTTATAGTACATTTTACATAAAACGAGCTAATTATATATGATGATATTTGTTTTTATTAGAAGTTGAGGTGATTTTCGTGTTCCAAGAAAAAAATATTTCAGTATTTGTCTCCGACCATATTCAATCCTTATTTGTATTCTTGATAATTCATATTTATTTTTGAATCTGAGCTATTCGTATTTGTTTTCATATCCAGTAAAAGAAATATGAAAACAAATATGGTATAAGCATTATCCGTCTGTATCCGCTCCGTTTTCACCCCTACCAACGACCGAGCTAGGTGACGCAATCAGCGACCGTGCAAGCTCCCCTATGTGAGAACATACTCCTTGAGCTGCTCCTCGTGCTTCCTTATCTTGTTCCTTGTGCTGCTCTATTCACTAGCAGGGAGACCGAGGACACTAGATCTGGCATCCCTCTGATGGATCTAGTTGAGGGCGCACAGAATGAAGATGAGGAGGACGTGATCCTCAACCAAGGCCGTACACACGGAGGAGGACCTGGCCGACTGATCTAGCTCGACGAGGCATTGAGGCAACCACAACAATGAAACTCGGCCTTCAAATGTAATCCTGACCTCTCTCACACAATTTTCCTCTTCTCTCTCGCAGGTCTGGATGGTCCCTGGAGGCAGCGAGATGCTAAGATCGAGAGTGAGCTCAACGTACGCTGATGAGCAATGGCAGGTGAGCTTAGTTTCTTCATTTGTTGCTCCTCTACCCTCCCTTTTCTTCCTCTTTTTTGCTGGATTTGTTAGATATATGTTGTATGTAAATTTATGAATTTGTATGTGTGAAGTTGTGATCTGTTCGTTTTGCCCTTTGGTCCAAAAAATGTGATATGTTTTCTTTTACGCAAAAATGTGGAGAGACTCTACCTTATAGCCATTGTATTAATGGTGGGTTAAATATACAACGAAATTAAAGAAAGAAAGAAAGAAGGGGAAATACAGCAAAAGAGAAAAACAGAATTCACAATGAAAGAAAAGGAGGAAGAAAGAAAGTAAAAAAACTGGAAAAATACAATGTTGCAGCACAAAAATGTGTGATATGTTGATTTGCTGTTGATGGATTAGGAAGAATCACCAACTGATTCGAGGAAGTTGATATTTAACAGTGTAGAGATTTACTCTTTAAGAGAAAATTGCACTTTGAGCCACCTTTCTTTACCATTGTGTCAATTTGGACCGGGGATAGAACAATCTTTTCACTTTGGACCACCTAAATTTACATGTTTGTTTCACTTTGGGCCTCTTCTTCCACATCCAGCTCCCTCTCTCTTATCTTTGTTTCTTCTCTCTTTCTTGCCTGCAAAGGGCTAGAGGAACCATCATGAGCAGGCCAACAAGTGATCACCGGCGATGTGCTCGTGCCAAAGCTCTGTCGGCGTCACCTCCGCGCGCTTGGAAAGGAGATTGTCCTCCTTAGCTGTTGGGAGGTCAAGCTCCAGCTCAAGGTAGAGTATGGCAAACAAGTATGGCAAACAATGGGACTCAAAATAGTGAGGCATTAGTAGAGCTTGAGAATGAGTGTGACATGTAATTCAGGGAGGGCAGAGAGAAAATCGATGGAGTTGAAGGTGGAAGAAGTACCCTAAAATGAAACAACATGTAAATATAGGTGGTTCAAAGTGAAAAGGTTACTCTACCCCTGGTCCAAGTTGAAACAATAGTAAAGAAAGATGGCCCAATGTGCAATTTACTCTTTAATTTTTAAGTACCACTATACGTACAACCCAGTTGTATAACTCATGTATAATTAGAGATATGCAACTATAAATCAATTAAAAGAGAGCATGTTCATATTCATTGCAGCCATTTAAAACCGTTGATCAAATTCAGTCAGTACATGAGTTGGACAGTTGGGTCATATCTATACCAATTTCCTTAATTTCTCACTGAGCCATAACGGGGTAACATCTAGAAATCTGCTCCTTTCCAGACACACTTAACAAAGAAAACATTTTCCATCATCTACTCTAACAAGAATTGGTGCAAAATGTTCGCGGGTCTAGTCGAGGTCGATAGGGGATATATCACAGTACCATTTTTCCTTTTGACCTAAGGTACCAATAACTAAGGTCCCAACGCAAAACCACTGTAAGGAAGTAAGAAACACACATTCCGTTCAACATGGCAGGAAAATTCACACACATCAAGTCAAAAATATATGAAATATCCACCTAATCGAGCTTTCAAGGCAGGCCTGATGGCGGTGCCTAGTGCCTAACCCCCTTCCTGTAATCTGCTTTGAGAGTCTGGTTCTCTAAGCGGTTGTTTTTCCGTTTGATTGCTAATTGTAACATTTGGCACTCTTTATTCCTTCTAATATATCCAGCAGAGCTCCTGCCATCAAATGTTTCAAACAAAAAAAAAAGAAATATCCACAATTCTACAAAGCAAATATTTTTCCAGTTGTAGGATCATGAGAGCTCAAAGGATGCCTCACTAATCGCAAAAATTTTGGCACTGACGTCTCTCATTCCTGGTCGATCTTTCGGTGATTCCATGGAGCACAAGAGGCCAACTTCAACCAATGGTAGCACATAGGTCTGCATCAATAATGCTAGACATGCATGGTGCTTCTCTCTGGGCATATGCGGATCTAAAACCTCCTAGAGATTGTTTGGAAACATCATGCTAACAAGAGATTTGCTCCGGTTCAGCAAAAAGTACCTCGAGGTATCAGTACCTCACGATACCAAATCGTTTCCGATCGTTGGGTCTAGCTGGGCAGGATGGGCATTGTTAAATCCAACAATCGGAAAAGATTTGGTACCATGAGGTACTGGTACCTCGAGGTACCTTTTGTTGGACCAGAGCAAATCTCTTACATATGGCATACACGTGGTGTTGTGTGCGTATGGAAAGAGGAATCAAATTTGGATTGGAGTCCAAGTTTGGAATGATTAGAGTTTGTAAAGTTTCTTTCTTGTACGGGAAGGTTTCCAAGGAGATTAGGACTTTTTGTATGAGTTGGATTCGTGGCTAGGAGCAGCCATGTTATGGGTATAAATAGATAAGGGGTTGAGGTTAAAAGTTGATTGTATCGTAGGATCGTAAAGGGCCTTTCTCACTCCAAAAGCTAGCCAATGAGATGAAAGGCTCCCCTACTTATATATTACTTGCCCTTCCACAATCAATATGGGACTATTCAACAATCTCTCCCTTCACACATTGGTGTACCTCAACCGTTCACCGCCCATTCACCAAATCCCCACGGTCCCTCGGGTATACAGGTCCCGCAAGCACCCACGGGCCATCAGGCCTTCACATACTTTATCCCTCGGGCCAGAGATGTTGAACTAGCCAGGCTCTGATACCAAATGCAAGATCGTAAAGGGTCTTTCCCACCCCAAAAGCTACCCAATGAAGTGAGGGGCTCCTCTACTTATATATTAGGTCCTTTGCCATTCCACAACCAATATGGGACTATTCAACATATATATCTTGCAAGTCTCTTCCTTGAACTATTGCGGTTGACCAAATTACTCCCTGATCTCAAAAATTAGACATTTTACAACCTCAACTATTCAAACCGGATAAATAAACCCCCTAACTCAATCCAGAGTGATTTTTGTACTACGTGGCATACGCGTGGAAGTCAAGTTTGTCACAGTTACGGATAAGGCATACATCTTATCCTATGACTTATGGAATATATGGGTATGGTATATCTTCATGTATACTGGTTGTTTCCATATGCATTAAGGGAATTTATTAGGTTTTATGGAAAATATCTCTATGAGTCGAGAGATTAACAAAGTCGTACTCGGAGGGGATAGGGTTCTTTCTATATCATATGGGATCCGATATCTCCGAGCCTTACTTGGAGGCCAAGATGATTCACAGTATAAAAGGGATACCCCAGGAGGGGTTCAGGGCATCGAATCTCATCGACAACACACCCACCATAGTTTACGAAGCCGGAGCACGCGAAGTCAAGTCGCCGGGAGATCTTGTCAAATCCATCGACTACGATCTCGTTGGCATCGTCGAATTCGTCTACTCTTGCTGTACTCTGTGATCCTCGTATCAACGTACCAGAATACACAACTTATTCGGTCTACGAGTATCCCTCGTTGATAAAGTCAGCAATCTTTTAAAATAATCGGTGGGGGCCAGCTATCAGATCTATACCTTCCCACCTCAATCTATCTCCTGTCTTACACAATCCGCACCCCTCACTATCTTCTCTCCAGGACTCCTCCCCTCATTGAAGCACGCGCTGGCAGCCCATCCGAGCTTCCTCCTCCTCAGCACAGCAAGTACGTCACAGTGCCGCCGTATTCCCTTTGCATGCACTCGCACCGGCGGCATCTTACATGCTGCCTCCTTGTGTTGGAGGTCGGAGGCTGCCTCCTTGAGCTCGAGCTCAATCTCCTTGCTTCGGAGGCCGAGGAGGAGATGTGCGCCGACGCCTCCTCGAGCACGAGCTCTGTAGTTGCCCTGCATCAAAGGTCGTCGAGGTCAGGGAGGACGGGAGAAGTGGCGAAGGTTGCAACGAGGCGCGATGGCCGCCAGCCTCGATGGAAGGGGCAATGGCGAGGTCGGGGAGGATGGAGAGAAGTGGTAGAGATTGGGGAAGAGGGTGAGAAGTCACTAGATCCACTTGGCCAGCCAACTTATTCTTTTCCCCTCTTCTTATTTCTTTGTCCTCTCTTTCCTTCTAGAGTGATAGACAACGGTGGTGGTCCAGGCTGAGAACGCAGTGGAGGCACCATTGGTGACCTTGAGGAGTGCGGTGGATGATGGAGGAAGATGGTTGGCGGTGCTGTTGGCCACCACGCTGGGGCGGCGGGGGGCATAGCGACGATGCACCTGCTTGCATCGCTCGAGTAGAACAGGCTCACCGACACCATCCCTGTCGAGTTGTTGCGGTATCATGAGGTGGGGTGGTCGAACCCGATGAGGTCGCGCCTCCCATTCCCCATGGGCAGCTCCTTGCAAGTAGCGGCAAGTGTCACTTAGGATTTGACCACCGCTGATAAGTCCAGGTCCTTCGCCACCGTTGCCTTGGCCATTTCCTGGCTTGCTCCTGCAGTGTTCAAGAGGTCAGGTTTCCTGGTTGGATGGATGGTTGCATGTGGTCATGGGGAGAGAGATGAAAAGAAGGAGAAGGATCAAGATCTTCCCTATCCTTTGGTTTTCCTTGGCTCACTGGAATGTCGTGTGCTCCTCTGTGACTGTGGCAGCAAGTTTGGTCTCACCATAAATCGTGGGGGGGGGGGGGATGGACCAGAGAAGAGGAGAGAAGGAAGAAGAGGCATGACATGTGGGCCAATGTTTTGTTTGATAGGATTGCCATGTGTATCGGCTCAAGTCAAAATCGCCCAAAACAGTGCTTAGGTGGGTTATTTGTATAGTTTGAATAATTCAAAGTTTAGAATGTCCGGTTTCATAGTTTATGGGATAATTCGTACCACTGCAATAGTTCAGGGGATAATTCATATTTTTTCCTATCTATAATTGTATTTACTCCTTCTTTTTTACCATAATTATCTCAATTTAATCTAGAAGGCGAGTGGCCACCAATTTTGAACTAGCGTTACTATATGCCATGTTAGCATTCTATTAAAAAAAGATTAATAAGACTTGCTAAATGGACCAATAGCTATTATGATGGTACCAACATATTACAATCATTGCCATGTTGTTCTCAATAAATTTCAGTTCATGTTGATTAATTTATGTTGCTATATCCAATATCTTCTAATTTCATTGTATCGATTTGCTTATGTTAATATTATAGAGATTCGCGCAACAACACGTGAGGTATTATCTAGTTTAATTAAAATGTCTGCTGAATTAGAACCAATAAAGGATGAACTCCCAAAACTATTTAAGACAGAGCAAAACTACCTGAACTATGTGCCTAGCTAGCGACTACCTCCAGACAAATAAAGAAGAAAGGAAGGAGATATGTGTGATTAGATGAAACAGAGGATGAAGATAGGGAAAAAAAGTTAGGGGAACGTGTTTGGTTAACTAGATCGCCAGTATCGTTACAAACACAAAACATGTACAAAGTACTATAATTGATAACAAATGAAAGCTATAATTTCACCATCTTACTGAACAATTAAACGAAATAACTTTTGTTGAACCACAGAATTAATTCACTGGGTAACAATTCTTACAAAAAATCTAACAAATAGTGTGCGACAAGTTCCTAATCATATAATATTTAGTGCACTGATATCAAAATCTATATTAACATAACAACAAAACCAGACGAATGAGAAAAGGGATTAGATGTGAACAAGGTAAAGAGTAGAGCAGTAACATATAGAAGAAAAAAAAAACTCCGAATAAGCTCCTATGCACATGTGTACCTGATATTTAAATACACACTAACATAATAACTGGGAAAGAGATTGGAGTGAACGAGGTAAAGAGTAGAGCGGTAATAGATTGAAGATCATGTGTATGCCGCCGTAGAGAAAGAAGTGTAACAGGAGGACCTACATGTTGCTGGAGGAGCTGCGGATTGCGGCTACCAACTGAGCGGTACAGCGGGTGAGAACAACCTAGACACATTGGCGGTCAAAGGTGGAGAAGAAGGAAGAGAAGAATAACCTGGTCTCAAATCAGTAATTTTCAGTGACTACAATTTTAGGCCCATTTGGTTGGACTATTATCGTAACAACTTTCTCATTTTCTGTTAGTATATTTCGTAAACTGCTACTTCCTCCGTTTCACAATGTAAGTCATTTTAGCATTTTCCATATTCATATTGATGTTAATAATGAATCGAAACATATATATCTATCTAGATTCATTAGCATCTATATGAATGTGGGAAATGCTAGAATGACTTACATTGTGAAACGGAGGAAGTAAACTATTTGCTTTTTGAAAAAACTTTTTATATAAAAAGTTTCCTTGAAAAATAAAATAAATCTGTTATCAAAATTTATAATAATTAGTACTTAATTACTCATTTACCAATTGATTGCCTCGTTTTACATACGGTGGGTTTGGTACCATTCGCATGTTCAAGAAATCAACGGATGCTCGCGGATTAGAGCTACCCGCCGGCCGCCGCCCCTTGCTGTTTCGCCGCTCGGTCGACGGGCGGCGCAGCGGTTCTGCGTCTTGCGGCATTGACAACCTCCTCTTCTCCCCTCGTCGCTTCCTAGTTAATCCGTCCATAAATCGAACCAGTTTCTATCTCAGCTCATCAAATCCTAAATGCAATTTGGTTGATTTGGTTAAACCTCACTGCGCCGCCGCCGCCGCGGGAATTCCTGCGGTGAGCTTTTGCCTCTGTCGTCCGCCGCTGCAGACTGGCGATTGAATCAGGTATGCGTTTTAAGATTAAGCTCTCGCTGGGCGATTGAAGCAGCAGGCACCATGCCGGCTGGGCGCGGGCGGCGGCTGGCGGCGTTGCGGCTCCGTAGGGCGGCGCTGGCTTGGGAGAAGCGCGGAGAGATGTCTGGCGGCGCGGGGGTGTCTCATCCGCCGTGACCGGCAGCGGCAGGGAAGGGAGGCGCGTGGGTGGAGGATGCCAGGAGGGCAGGCGGGAGGCTGGTGGTGCGGCGACCAGGGCGGCTGCGTGCGGCGTCCGCGACGAACTGGAGGCTGGCGCCGACGAGGTGAGCAATCGAGATTTTGGCATTCGAGCACATTGCAAAATTTGAATTTCAATTACTACTCTATTTGATACAAATTCGGGTGAATGATTGAGATTGGTCGCTTGTTAGTCGCATGGAAGACCGGAAGAGAAACCGTGTCGGTGTCAATTGCACGCCCAGGAGAAAGACTAATGAATATGGACACGTTTTCTTTATTCACATGCACTAGACTTGTTCAAACAACAACTGAAGTCAACAAGTCTCAACTCTGCAGTTTCCAAGGCTTATATGATATCACCATAAGAAGTTCTCACAAGAAAAAAAAGGGACTCCATTAGAGAATTTCTCACCTGCAGTAGCGAGCTCAAGTGGCAACTGAAGTCAAGTAAGCCTGCACATTCCAAGGCTATATAATATCACAAACAGTCCTCACTAGAAAAGAAAAACAAGAACTCCATCTTAGAAGAGATATGTTTCCATCAGTTCTTGGAGCCAAATCTCCCCCTGCTGCTTCTCATCCTGCATCATTTCTTCTCTGCAGCCTCCTCATCTTTCTATCCTGCAACACAATAACACCCTCATCAGCACAGCCCAGCAACAGATCAGAGACCGATTTACAAGCTCTACTCTGCTTCAAGCAAAGCATAACCAACGACCCCACCGGTGCTTTCAGCTCATGGAACATATCGCTACACTTCTGCAGATGGAATGGGGTCACATGTGGCAGGACATCTCCAGCTCATGTTGTCTCCATAAACCTTACCTCCATGAAGCTCAGTGGAGTTCTGCCAGCTTGCATGGGCAACCTCACCTCGTTGCAAACTCTGGTTCTTGACAGAAACAATCTTGAAGGTACCATCCCTGAATCCTTAGCAAGAAGTTTATCACTCATTGAGCTAAATCTTTCGCGTAACTTCCTATCTGGACAGATCCCTGCTAGTTTGTTCAATGGCTCATCCAAACTTGTCATCCACGAATATCTACACGGCAATACTATTTGGGCTGGATATAGGATACCGAATATGTATAGAATATCTTATTTGTATCTCGGGTTTGTTTCTTAACTTGTACAACAAGGAAACACCTTGAGACTTAGTCGGTTACGGCTGTATTTAATCTATATCTGTGTATTCCGTTAGGGATATTGATTATCTTTTGTAACCCGGACTCCTTCCCATATATAAGGGGGGTCCGGGCGCCTCTAGGGGCAGATGTTGATTTTCTCTAAATCATACAATCAATAATACACTCGGCGGATTCATCCCCGGACAGGAGTAGGGTATTACTTCTTTTATAAGAAGGCCTGAACCTGTATAAATCTTTTGTCTCCAAACCCATACACTTTTCCAGCTTGATAGCCACCCCCTTTTATTATTGCCGAAATCTAGTTTCGACAGTTGGCGCGCCAGGTAGGGGTAGCGTCAAGCTTTTCGCCGATCAGTGCAATGGGTTCCGTCTCCGGCATCGACGACCTCGTCTTCCCACCCGGGCAGACGTTTCGGTTCGGCAGCCTCGACTTCATCACCAACAACTTCGGCAAGATCTCTCTCCTAGACTCGGAGTCAAACCAGTCAGGAGAGAACCGGATTTCGGTCCCGTTCGGATTCCCGAACGCGGCTGAAAGCTACTTCAAGACCATCTCAACCGAGTCGGCTTCAAACCACTCGGCCGGGATCGCATCTTCTCCAACGACACCAGATCAAGATGATGGGGCTTACCCACCAGTCCTGATGAAGCTCCCCGACGATTTAGCGGCCGTCTCCACCACGACAGCGTCTTCATCCCGTAGGCCTAGGCGGAAGTCGGCCTTAACACCGATTTCGCCTAGCTTCAGGGAAGTCGGCGTCATCCTCCAACCACTCGGCACGGTTTCGACGGACCAGCTAGATGACTACAACAGCTCTCCCACCGTCGACTCACGTCCTACTGACATCGTGGAGTACGACGAATTTAGTTCTCGCTACAACGACTTCAACGACTTCGACGACTTTGACGGAAGCCTAGATGACAACTATACCCCTCTCTACTTTGGCGTTTTCATGGCCAATAATGAGACGGAGGAGCAACGCCAAGCCCGGGAGACCGAAGAACGTCGCCGACTGGAGGAGGAGCATCAGGCACAAGAACAAGAACGGCTACGGCGTGAGCAGCAGGACCGTGAGCGGACCGCGAAGGAGGCTGAGGATCGACGTCAGCGAGCTTTGGAAGCAGGGCGCCGAGCGCGTGATCTCATCGGCCAACAAGATGTCGAAGGGACACCGGTTTTCCGCACCCCTCAACAGAATGCGGTTGCCGCGATCACCCTTCTCGACACCCTACTCAACCAAAACGAGCTCAATCGATCCGACCACGTCGTCAACATCTTGAACCAGACGAAGACCATGATTGCGGCCTCGGTCCCAGTTAACTCCGAAAGCGTCCACACGCCGACTGGCAGCCGAGTTCCCCACTTCCGATCTCATGACTACCGTCATCCAAGCCTCAGCATCACCGGCGCAGGATCCAACCGCAGGAGCAGGGGTCACGACGAGCGGTCTGTTCACTCACCTCCCGACCTTCATAGGGAGCGCCGAGTGGAACGGCCTCGCTCACCACCTCGTCGCCGCCCCATCGATCTTCGCGACACAATCATACAGCGCCGAGCAGCTCGAGGCTACCATCACTCGCCGGACCGCCGCGACGACGACCTTGACGGAGTTGCAGCCTTCACCGACGACCTGCGTCGAGTGGATTGGCCAGCCGGCTTCAAACCGACTGGAATAGAGAAGTATGACGGCACCACTAATCCCGAATCGTGGCTTACCGTCTACGGTCTCGCAATCCGCGCAGCAGGAGGAGACAACAAGGCCATGGCGAACTATTTACCAGTGGCTTTAGCGGATTCCGCCCGATCTTGGCTCCATGGATTGCCCCGTGGTACAATTGGATCTTGGGCCGAACTACGCGACCACTTCATCGCCAACTTCCAAGGCACCTTCGAGCGTCCCGGCACACAATATGATCTTTACAACGTCATTCAGAAGTCCGGAGAATCCCTTCGAGATTACATCCGGCGATTTTCTGAACAACGTAACAAGATCTCCGACATCACCGACGACGTCATCATCGCCGCATTCACCAAAGGGATTCGCCACGAAGAATTGGTCGGCAAGTTCGGGCGCAAGCCTCCCAGGACAGTCAAGCTCATGTTTGAAAAAGCCAACGAGTACGCCAAAGCTGAAGACGCTGTCACCGCATCAAAGCAGTCGGGTCCGAGTTGGAAGCAAAACAAGGGTACGCCGGCTACGGGAGGAGGTGGAAGTAACAATCATAAGGACCGCAAGCGTAAGCCTGCGGAACTCGTTGCAACCGCCAGTCACTCTTCTCGACAGCGTTCGCGCGTCAACACGTTCGACAAGATCATGAACTCCCAATGCCCGCACCATCCTAACTCCAACCACGTGGCCAAAGATTGTTTCATCTACAAGCAATTCGCGGATCAATACACCAAGACTGCACGGAAGAATTCTGACGAAGAACAAAGCACGTCAAGGAAGAAGGACGACGGTGACACCCCGGCAGGTTTTCAAGATCACCGCAAGGAGCTCAACCATATCTTTGGCGGCCCCCTGGCTTATGAGTCTAAACGGAAGCAGAAGTTGACTGAACGGGAGATCAATGCTGTTCAGCCCGACACGCCCCAGTATCTTCGATGGTCAGAGATTGCAATCAAGTTTGACCGCTCGGATCATCCTGACCGAGTGGTCCACCCGGGGCGGTACCCCCTGGTACTAGACCCAGTGGTCCGTAATGTCAAGCTTCGCAGAACCCTCATTGATGGTGGCAGTGCACTCAATATCCTCTTCGCCAAGACCTTGGATGATATGCAGATTCCTCGCTCCGAGCTAAAACCAAGCAATGCGCCTTTTCACGGAGTAATTCCAGGATTATCCGCAACTCCACTCGGCCAGATCACCCTCCCAGTCACTTTTGGCACTCGGGAAAATTTCCGCACAGAGAATATCAGCTTTGAAGTCGCCGATTTCGAGACAGCATACCATGCCATACTCGGACGCCCGGCGTTAGCCAAGTTCATGGCCGTCCCGCACTACACTTACATGATGATGAAGATGCCTGGTCCCCGTGGAGTCCTATCCCTACGGAGCGACATCAAGCAAGCCGTCACATGCGACAAGGAGAGTTGCGACATGGCCCAAACTCGCGAAATGGCGTCTGCCCGAGAGGATATCCGACTGGCTGCAGCCACGGCGAGCGAAGGAGAAATACCTGCCACCAAGACTTCAAAAAGTGGAGAAAGCGAAGCCAAGACTAAAAAGATTCCCCTAGATCCCTCTGATCCTGCTAAAACCGCTGTAATAGGCGCCGAGTTAGATTGTAAATAGGAAAGCGCGCTCATCACCTTTCTTCAGAATAATAAAGATATCTTTGCGTGGAAACCTTCGGATATGCCCGGTATCCCTAGAGAGGTGATTGAGCACTCCTTACATGTCAAAGAAGATGCCAAGCCTATCAAACAACGACTCCGCCGATTCGCACAAGACAGGAAGGACGCGATCAAGGAGGAATTAACCAAGCTGTTAGCAGCAGGCTTCATCAAAGAAGTCCTTCATCCCGACTGGCTGGCAAACCCGGTTCTAGTTCGGAAGAAAACAGGGCAATGGCGCATGTGTGTCGATTATACTGACCTCAACAAGTCCTGTCCTAAAGATCCTTTTGGGTTGCCTCGCATTGACCAGGTAGTCGACTCGACCGCCGGCTGTGAGCTTCTCAGTTTTTTGGATTGCTACTCGGGGTATCATCAGATCCGACTGAAGGAATCCGACTGCTTGAAGACTTCATTCATCACGCCCTTTGGGGCATACTGCTACGTCACCATGCCGTTCGGACTAAAAAATGCAGGAGCAACTTATCAACGTATGATCCAAAGATGCTTCTCAACCCAGATCGGCCGCAACGTTGAAGCCTATGTGGATGATGTAGTCGTCAAGACCAAGCAAAAGGATGATTTGATCTCGGATCTAGAAGAAACCTTTGCGAGCATCCGTGCTTTCAGGATGAAATTGAACCCTGAAAAGTGCACCTTCGGAGTACCGTCAGGGAAGCTGCTTGGCTTTATGGTGTCTCATAGGGGCATCCAAGCCAACCCGGAGAAAGTTACTGCTATCCTCAACATGAAACCGCCAAGTACCCAGAAAGATGTTCAGAAGCTGACTGGATGCATGGCGGCGCTCAGCCGATTTGTTTCAAGACTTGGCGAGCGGGGGATGCCCTTCTTCAAGCTACTGAAGAAAACAGATAACTTCCAGTGGGGACCCGAAGCACAGAAGGCCTTCGAAGATTTCAAGAAACTCCTCACCGAGCCACCAGTCTTAGCCTCACCACACCCGCAGGAGCCGTTGTTGCTGTATGTATCAGCCACCTCCCAGGTTGTGAGCACAGTCTTGGTCGTTGAGCGCGAGGAAGAAGGCCATGTCCAAAAAGTCCAGCGGCCGATTTATTTTGTCAGCGAGGTCCTAGCCGACTCCAAAACGAGGTACCCTCAGGTTCAGAAGCTGTTATATGGTATTCTAATTACTACCAGGAAGCTATCTCACTACTTTCAAGGTCACTCGGTAACGGTGGTTACATCATTTCCACTCGGTGATATACTGCACAACCGCGAAGCAAACGGACGTATTGCTAAGTGGGCTTTGGAGTTGATGTCTTTGGACATATCATTCAAGCCCCGAATTTCAATCAAGTCCCAAGCGTTAGCTGATTTTGTCGCCGAATGGACCGAGTGCCAGGAGGATACCCCCGCGGAGAACATGGAGCACTGGACCATGCATTTTGACGGATCCAAACGACTTTCGGGCACTGGAGCAGGAGTGGTTTTGATTTCCCCAACTGGAGAAAGATTGAGCTATGTGCTTTGGATACATTTTTCGGCGTCCCACAACGTCGCCGAGTATGAAGCCCTCCTTCATGGGCTACGGATTGCAATTTCCCTAGGGATAAAGCATTTAATAGTTCGAGGCGATTCACAGCTGGTTGTTAACCAAGTTATGAAAGAGTGGTCCTGCCTTGATGACAACATGATGGCATATCGACAAGAGGTACGCAAATTGGAAGACAAGTTTGATGGACTCG